TATATCTTTATGTTTGAAGCCTGAAATGTGGCAAAAGGTTGAAAAGTTCAAGGGGGCCGAATACTTTCGCAAGGCACTGTAAGTGAGTATTCTCCTTTTAACCCATGTTAAAACAATTGACAATCCCTGTTTCTCAACACATTATATACTGCTACATTTATGGGTCACCAAAGCAGGAACAAAACAATTGATGTTGATTGTAAAGCTTGCGTGTGGCTGTTGTGACATAATATCTCCAATTGCAGGAATCAAACATTAAAGACTGAGGTTCACTTGGTGTATCTCCTGCCTCTTCCTTCAATAGTTGATGACAATATATAAAATCGCATTTCTGGAGCACAAGGATCACAGCCAAGAAACTACTGTACTGTAACTCTCAGTGCTCAGCTTCTACGTATGGGTGGGATTGTCCACTGTCAGTGTCTTATAATATTTAAAATCCCTTGTCAGTATGTCCGGATATTGTCATCTGGGACCTTTTTCCAGTATAATTAAGCTCTTGATTATACTTGATTTGTTGAGCCTTCTGATCAGCACTACATAAATCCATTTGTGTTGAGAGATATGCATGTGTGCATATACACTGTATAGAGAGACAGACATACACTTCCAGCAAAACTTTAGTTGCCAGAATGGAAAGATCACTTCTATCTTTGCCTACAACTCCGATTGGAACGGTCACCGAGAGCGACACACTGTTTAATATTACCAACTGAAGCATGCCAAATGCAACATAATGGATGAGATTGTTTTTGGAAATGGTGCAAAGAGGGATTGTTCTACTGGGAACAGAACAAAACTACATACAGTAAGTCCAGGGCAATTACAAACGAGATTAGGTCAGTTAGCTGGTCAAAACACCACAATTTTAAGCAAATGTGATATAAGAGTAAGTTATGGACTACTTGGTAAGCAAGGGTCATAGAGGTCAAGGCTGAAAAGATTACAGTAGTCGGCTTGAAGGTGAATTATTAGCACTAATAAAAAAATGTTGTTACAAGCCAAAAAATAAATAATTGTGATATAAAAGAACAAATAATATAGACATTTCCTGCCAAAATGATTCTCATATCTGATTCTCACATGGTGGAACTTTCTTCTGGATTAATGGATTTTCTGAGACTGTTATACCTTTTTTTAAACCAAAATGACATTTCTTGATTGGAAAATAATCTTCTCCATTTGTAGGAATTCTCAAAGTACTTTTTTTTACTTCTAATCATTAAGGTCCTCTGCAATCCAGTTATGAGTTTGCAAAAAATGTTTTAATTGAAACAAATCAAGATGAAGCAGTAAGTATGATCAAATTCTTAGGAATGTGCAAAAGGCATACTAAAAGATGTATTTCTGACTTTTTTCTATCTTGTTACTAAAGTATAGATTTAGAAGCACCAATAACATTTAAAGGGTTAAACAATTACTCAGAAAGAGCAGAACGTGGTGTTTAATACTGATACATTAAAATGTTTTAAAATGTCAACCGTACTACTGGTACAACTATGAATATAATACACAATAAACACTAACACAGAGATTACCAAGATTATTTTAATAAGAGTGTGTGCTTAGATGTTTGAATTGTGGTGGCTTCTCGATGCTGTGCTGCTCAGTGGGTGAATGATTTCACTGGGTGACAGTTTGAAGGTTCTGTGAAGATGAGCTATAACTGGGCTGACTGCTCCTCAGGGACAGAAAGCTA